TGAGAAAGTCTTAGAAGTTCTGTGTATTAAAACAGTGAGGAGAACTCAAAAGTTCAGTATGTTCTAAGACAGTGAGTGGAAACATCAGAAGTTCAGTGTGTTTAAAAGTAAGGAAGACTCAGAAGTTATGTATTGTGCTAGAATAGTGAGTGAAAATCAGAGGTTCTAATACCACATTTCAACTCTTTCCTGATATTAATCAGCACATCAGAAATTTATTCAGTTCTTAATAAAAAGCAAATCAGAAGGATAACATCACAACAATTTATAGAAGTTCTAATCCTAAATCTGAGCCTAGCCCTAATCAAGAAGTTATGATCCACAATTTTTCTACTTATGCAATGATATGGACAACATTAATTGTGATATTTACATATTAATGATGTTCTGAATGAAAAGATGCGAATTCAGAAAGACTTATCTTGAATCTGAAGTGTGTTTTTGGAACTTGAACTGCTACCTTCAGATGTTCTGGAGTCAGCAAGAGAAACGAAAGAGAAAATGCCAAGTTCTTTGATTCAAAGGGAAGAATAAATTTTTGGTTTTCTGTTTAGGAATTCTGGATTTTTGGCGAAGGTTTCATAGTTTTATTTTCTCTCCTTTGACGATTCTCTCTCTCCAAAAGCCAACCCCTTGAATGTTTGATGAAGCAAATTATTTATAGATGGGTTTGCTGTGGTTTTGGGGGGAAAACAAACGAGATTTAAACCTTTTTGGTATACTGTTCCATTGCTTTTTAATCACAGTTTTTTTATGCTAATTTGGTGCAAATATAGGGTTTAAGAAAAATGCAGGCGTGGACTAGATCAACAATAATTTGGAGTGTTGTGGCAGCTGGTTCTAGGACTGTGCTATAGCAGTGCAGCAAGCTGCTCAAACAAGGTTTTGGGGCTTTGTAATGTTCTGATCAAAGAAAACCAGAGTGAAACTCGAAGGGTGGTGCTCTGATCAAAGCATATGCTGAAGAGTCATGTTCTGATTGAAGAATCATGTTCTGAACCATGTTTGCAAATTCCGACTGCACTTGCGTGGAGGCTGGCTCAGAAGTTCTGAAGTATCATATTCTCTTAACACTTAGAAAATTTTCTAAATTTTTAGAAATTTGATTTTTTCAAAGTAATTTCTGACTTTTGATTTTTGATGAACCAATTTCATGTCTTGATGAGATATAATTGTTGAAATTTGATTTTAGATCTAAAAGTCAAATATTGACTTTTCAGTGTGCTTTTGACAAATTTGCCCTTGTGAATGACTTTCTTGAAAATTTGTAATTCAAGACTTGAAACTTGATAGGAGCAAACCTGAGGGTCCAGGATGATCCTTTGAGAAATGAGAGGGCAAATTTTTGGGTACAACATCTACCCCTGTTCAATCTTCTTACGCCTGAAGAGTTAGATTGGTAGGTCTGCCATTCGTGACTTGAAGGTGGAAGATGATTGAACACTAGAGTTCCCATAAATTTTCACTAGATGATGTTGTGGTTGATTGTGATATCGGGAATGGGCTTACAGATGCTATTCAGAAAATATCGGTTGCATAAGAGATTCCTTGGCGAGAATTAATGTACCTGCTATTGAGGAGGACTTCGTCGGGGAATGTCGATTTATGTTCTGGGAAGTAGAGTCTATGAGCTTCAGTTGTTCATTACTCTACTGGGGAATTAACTGTTGATTGAGGAGGTGAAAGTGGAATATATACCTGGTCAGGGTCCAGGCTGTACAACGGCTTATTGGGGAAATATGAAATCAATCGTATCCGGTCGGGTCCGGGCCTTACAGTGTTGTAAACTGTTGTCTGGAGATGAGGGAGAAGGAACCTGGATAGTAGGGTTATGAGAAGGAACCTGGGTCGTAGGGTTACTTCGAAATGAAAGCCTGGATAGTAGGGCTTATGGGAAGGAACCTGGGTCGTAGGGTTACTTCTAAATGAAAGCCTGGATAGTAGGGCTTTGAGAAGGAACCTGGGTTGTAGGGTTACTTCGAAATGAAATCCTGGATAGTAGGGCTATGAGAAGGAACCTGGGTCGTAGGGTTACTTCGAAATGAAAGCTTGAATAGTAGGGCTTATGAGAAGGAACCTGGGTCGTAGGGTTACTTCCAAATGAAAGCCTGGATAGTAGGGCTATGAGAAGGAACCTGGGTCGTAGGGTTACTTCGAAATGAAAGCCTGGATAGTAGGGCTTATGAGAAGGAACTTGGGTCGTAGGGTTACTTCGAAATGAAAGCCTGGATAGTAGGGCTATGAGAAGGAACCTGGGTCGTAGGGTTACTTCGAAATGAAAGCCTGGATAGTAGGGCTATGAGAAGGAACCAGGGTCGTAGGGTTACTCCGCTTGACCATGTAGATTAGTTGACCCATTTAGTTTCGGGAACTAATTTTTTCATTAGCTGTCTGCAGATATGACATGTATAACTGCTGGAATTGTTGGTGATAACTATCTTTCCTGAAAAGATAACAGGGTTAATCATATGCGATGCATGAAATGTGTTGTGAGATGATGTTCCCAAAATAAATGAGATTATGTTGTACGTGATATGTATGCGCATGTCATGATGTATGAACATGAGATGTTATTTGTGACATATCTGAGTCTGGAAAAATAAATCCCTGACTGCTGCTGGAGAATATAGCATTCCTGACTGTTGTAGAGAACTGGGATTTTTCCACTTCTGTTGGGGATGGCGAACGGAAACGACTGTGCCGAAGATTTTCTCTTTGTTGTTTGTGAATATTCTGCCAGGGAGAGACTTTGTACGAGAATAGCTCTGCGGGGGAATGAATCTGTTAAGCTCTGTTGGGGATTGAGCTTCTGTATCTAGAGAAACAAACTCTGCTGGGGGAGATAAAAATTTAGGATGATATGCTCGCGATTATGAAATTCAGCTGGGGGATATATATGTTAGGTTTCTGGACGACCCTGGCTAGGGAGATTACTTCCTGTTTTGAGAGAACTGACATCAATGCTTTGATTACCTTTACTCTGTGGAGGATACAGATGCTACGATGTCGTATGCGCTGATGATTATGTTTCAAGGTTGTCTCTGCCCTGGTACCGACTGGACAGAGTAACTGTCAGGTTTTGACTTTTCTGGTATTTGCCCCTGTTTCTTAAGTTACGAGCAATTGTCTTTCCATTTCTTATGTAAATATTTATGAGCAGTAACCATATTTAATGCATATGTCAAGAACAAATCATTGGACGTTTTTGCAAAACAAAATAGAAAAGGACAAAAACTCATTTTTTTTTTGTAAAAATGATTTGTATTGATTTTCGAAGTTGGCCTATAATAGGTGTTTTTGTACAAGGAGGCTGATGCTCTATGTAGCGGTGAAAATAGGAGATCAAGCTATTAATTAACTTGACTCGCAAAAGCAAGAGTCGCCACCGCGCTTTATTATTTCCAAGGGAAAAGGGAAAAGAGCGAAATAAAACCCTAAAGTATGCAATGTAAAATAATACTTAAAAGTAATAAAAATACAATGCGTTTTTGAAAGAGATCGAGAGTTCGGGGGTTGGTTATACAATGGGAAGGTATTAGCACCCAATGCATCTGCGGTACTCCGCAGGAACCTTTTGAAATATCTGTTTTTTGGTTTAAAATTGTTTGTTTGATTAAAATGATTCGTTTGGCTAAAAGATGGGTATGGACGAGATTTTTGAAGATACGGCGACCTAGTGTCGAAGTTTTGACTTAAAAGGTGTGAGTTTGAAAATGGAGTCTTTTGGGAAAATTATCTTAAGCAAAATAGTAAACAAACAAAAAAAATGAATGAGGGTATTCACACGATTGGATGAGATGTGCTTGATGACGTGAAGTCAACAAATTTAATTCTTTCCCTTGGAGTTAGCAAAATAAAATGAACATCAAAATATAAACACTCAGAAGTTCACAAGAAAATGAATCTGACAAAAACAAATTAATGATCAAGAGGCACCGAGAAATTGAAATGACAGAAATATACAAATAAAAGGAATATAACTAATTATCTAAAGAAGTTATTCGAACTAAACTAAAAATTACTTACTAAAATAATTCTAAACTAATTACAAATTCTAAGGTTATAAAAAATCTAGTATTATTGAATTTGATCTAAACTAAACTAAAGTTTTAAAATTTAGTAAGTTAAATCTAGATTAAATTAAAATCCTAAGGTTACTAAATTAAATCTAAAACAAATGAAAATTCCAAAGTTGCTAAACTAAATCTAAATCGAATAAAATTCTAAAACTACTAAACTAAATTTAAATCAAATAAAAAACTCTAAAGTTATTAAACTAAATAAAAATTATAAACTTATTAAACTAATTCTAAATCAAATAAAAATTATAAATTTATTAAACTAATTCTAAATCAAATAAAAATTCTAAAGTCATTAAACTAAAACTAAAATTAAACTAATTCTAAATCAAATAAAAATTATAAATTTATTAAACTAATTCTAAATTAAATAAAAATTCTAAAGTTAACTAAATAAAAGTCAAATAAAATTCTAAAGTCACTAAACTAAAACTAAACAAATAAAATTCTAAAGTTAACTTAAATAAAATTAAATAAAATTCTAAAGTTATTAAACTAAACTAAAACAAATAAAATTCTAAAATTTACTAAATGAAATAAAATTCTAAAGTTATAAAATAAAACTAAAACAAAATAAAATTCTAAAGTTATTAATTATGATTCTAAATATTTTAAAGTTATAAAATAAATCTAAACTAATTAAAAAAAAATTTAAATTAATATTAAACTAAATCTAAATATAAAATTTACTAATATTTTGTTTATATATTTTTTATTTTATAATATTGAATATTGATCCTATTATGATGAACTTGTATCCATGACTATAAGATGAGTAGTATTCTATGCATATCTACACAACAATTGCCATATATATAATATATCTATCTTGTTATTGTTGTGAAACTACAAATACAGCTCAAATTTTATGTAGCTTTAATCTAGAACAGACCTTATCACGGCAATGTAAGAATTGGTAACCTACTTGACAAGGGAAGCAAGCACTCTGCGAGGAGGATCAAATGGTCTTCGAGAATGAAGAACAACCCAGTTATCAAGCAACATAACATCCCCTTTACGCCAAGGAACGACAACAGATTCTTCCTCAAGTATATTAAGACAGTCATACACTACATCAGCAGGTAAAGGGCTGCCATCCCCAAATGTCACAGCCTTAACAGGATCATTTCTTTCATCTTTCCAACCAGTGTAAGCAGCCACCATGCTATTAAACCAAATCTTACGCTTTCTTACTTCGTCATATTTCACTGCAAACGGTAGATCTGGGTTTCAGAACGACTGGTAGCGTTGACCGAAACGATTTTGATGGCGGTGGATCTTCGAGGGTGCAAGCGGTTGAGCACCGTTTTGTTGGCGGAAGAGCAACATCGTGTGTTCGCGATGGTCGGAATTTTTATTTTTTATTTCTCTTTCCTGTTCGCTTTATTCCTGTAAAAGCAAACACATAAAAAAAAAGTAATAATGATGTTGTTGTCGTTCCTGCGTCGAACTTGTGTTTCTCCTTCCTTTTATCTGCAAAATAGAAAGTTGTGTTGATGTTGTAACATATTTTTCTTTTGGAATTCTGATTGTGATATGGTGAAGGTGGGCAAAGTGGGTTACGGAATCGGTGGTGGTGGATTACGGTGAAGCTGGTTTAGTGGTTCGGTGAAGAGTATGAAGTGGGAAGGGATATTAATTTGTTTTTGTGTTGTGTTTTTTTTCACAAAGAAAAGGAAGACTATTTAAATAGTCAGATGAAGAGAAAAAATGATTTCAGCTTGCAATCATATCCGTCCATTATTTTCATTAATCCTGCACAACTTCTATCAACCAATTAGAAAAAAGAATAGTTTAACAAAAAAATTAATGATTAAAAATCCCTCTAAAAATAAAAATGACTTAAAACCTGAAAGTGTACAAATTAATGCAATTTAAAATATATTTTTTTGAATTTTTCTGAATAAAAAATAAAGACACAAAATGACCGAAAACGATAAAAAACGGACGAAAATTTATCCGATAAAATAAAATGAACACATTAAAATAAACTACATGTCACAAAGATTAAAGAAAAAATATTCAAGAAGTCAAAAAATCAAAAATAAAATAATAATAGAAATATCAGACTAAATAGACGTTTAAGGTTAAAACGAGACTTCGAACTGTACCGAAAAATAAAGCGAGCATACCGTCATAATCTACGCGAAGCGCAGATTCATAAAATGATCGGTAAAAGGTGAAAACTTGAAATATTTTCTCGCTACTTTCCCGCATAGTGTCGAATCGCTTTTAACAGTTTGTCTATAAAACCAAAATATTTTTATTATCGACATATAAACAACTTGGAGCAATGCAAGAAACGAGTAAAGAGACAAAAATGCATGAAGTGAAATGTCAGGTATTTTTTAACTAAAAGACGATGCAAACTTTGATTCAAACTGACTTTTCTAGTCAACTTAAATACGACTAACGATGCAAAATATGATGAATGAAGATATTTACTAATGATTGTGACCAAATGACAAAATATGGTATGAATGTGCGACTGAAGAAATTAAGGGCGAAATTAAGGATGCAATAGTTGTGCCTTGATGAATCGGTCCTCGAGAATCCATAATCAACCGTACTTCTGGCTTGAGAGACTCAAAACTTTAATTGAGGCGCGACACCTGATGCTCTTGATTCAGACCTGTCTCTGCACATGAAACAAAAGAAGACATGAACATACACCTTGGTATGCGATTAGAAATTAGTGATACGTACGCTAAAAATGTTCAAAACACTTGACAATCTTCGCATAGTCAAAGCTCGAAGGTGAGACGTTAAAACCGACCGTATTTCGTGACCTCGACTTATCTTAAAAAATGCAAAAATAAAAATGGGATCTTAGGTCAAAAATTGGGGTACAACAGCTGCCCCTATTTAAGTTTCTTCTATCTGGAGATATGAAGATTGGGATCTTCATTTCGACAAGATTGAAGGGACTTAAATATAGAATACACAATTTTTGGCCTTAAGATACCGCGATTACGTTCATGATATGATATGAATGTAATGCTCTGAATTTTATGGGGAATGACGCCATATGAGACAGACTATGCTGGAGAAACCAAGCACATTATACAGTAATCCCACGGAGGAAGAAGTTGTAACTCCACTGGGGAAACAGATTATAACACCACTGGGGAAACAAAGTCATAGACTTCAAATGAGAGACTCTTGAATGATTTACATAAGTATTGAGACTGGAAAAGGTAATGATTTACATCAGTACTGTAACTGGAAAAGCATATGATTGACATCAGTACTGTGACTGGAAAACAAAATGATTGACATCAGCACTGTGGCTGGAAAACAAAATGATTGACATCAGCACTGTGGCTGGAGATAAACATCTCTGACTTCTGAATTTTACCAAGAACGGTAACACATTTCTTCTCTAACCAAGATATCGCTTGAAAAGGATAAAATAACAAACTTCCCCACGGGACTTTTCCGAAAGGGATGCCATTTGCTGAGTAGACATTATTGTTGGGGATACACAATCTGCTCAAATAAAGAGGCCGCCACTTGCTTCCTTTCAAAGGTGTCAATAACATACAAGCTGCTCATGAAGAGACCGCCACTTGCTATCTTCAAAGAATATTAAAACACACAAGCTGCTCATGAAGAGTCTGCCACTTGTTGCCAAAAACCCACAAGCTGCTCATAAAGAAGCTGCCACTTGCTGTCTTCAAAGAATATCAAAACACACAAGCTGCTCATGAAGAGTCTGCCACTTGTTGCCAATAATCCACAAGCTGCTCATAAAGAAGCTGCCACTTGCCGTTTTCCGTACAAGCTGCTCATGAAGAGACCGCCACTTGCCGTTTTCAAAAAGTGTTGATAACATACAAGTTGTCCATGAAGGGACTGCCGCTTGCTGTTTCTTAAAAGTGTTGATAACATACAAGTTGTCCATGAAGGGACTGCCGCTTGCTGTTTCTTAAAAGTGTTGATAACATACAAGTTGTCCATGAAGAGACTGCCGCTTGCTGTTTCTTAAAAGTGTTGATAACATACAAGTTGTCCATGAAGAGACTGCCGCTTGCTGTTTCTTTTCAAAATTACCAATAACACACAAGTTGCTCATGAAGAGACCGTCGCTTGTTGTTTTTTTTCAAGGTATCAATAACATACAAGTTGCTCATGAAGAGACCGCCGCTTGTTGTTTTTAAAGTTGTTAATAACATAACAAGTTGCCTCGTGAAGAGACTGCCGCTTGATGTTTTCGAAGGTGACAATAACACACAAGTTGCCTCATGAAGAGACTGCCGCTTGCTGTTTGTCAAGAGTATTCATAACACACAAGTTGTCCATAAAGAGACTGCCGCTTGCTGTTTGTCAAGAGTATTCATAACACACAAGTTGTCCATAAAGAGACTGCCGCTTGCTGTTTGTCAAGAGTATTCATAACACAAAAGTTGTCCATAAAGAGACTGCCGCTTGCTGTTTGTCAAGAGTATTCATAACACACAAGTTGTCCATAAAGAGACTGCCGCTTGCTGTTTTCTCAAAGATACCCATGAAATATCATGAAGATATTGCTGGAGGCGAGAATCAATAATTTCATCGAGGATGGACAAACTGCTCATGAAGAGACCGCCATTTGTCGTAGAGAAATCATAAATAATCAAACTGCTCAAATAAAGAGTCAGTCGCTTGTTGTCATGTCGATATTCCAGAAGAAGGTTGTGATAACACTACTGGGGAATAAAGTTCATCTTCAATGGGGAACCATGAATAGATCCTTCTTGAGGAGACCAAGTATTTAAATTGCAAAGTAAATGCACTCTTCATTTAGGTTTCACAGCCTAGAGAGATCCACAGGGTATCGTTCACAAGAGACAAAGCTCAATCCAGGAATAAACTAGAGAGAAAATAGTCAAACAAGACTCCATCCAATGAGGAAACAACTCAAATGGGGATTTACCCTATCCAGAGATGGAAAAGGAAAGCTAAAGCAAGATTCTTCCACGAGAGTTAACTCAGTGGGGAATTAGAAAGAAGACGCACTTTCTGCTTAAGTTGGCACTCTACTTGGAAAGATCAAATACATTATTTGAATAGACATAACCAAGGTATACGAACTTCAATGACATCAACAAATACAACTATGCGTGCATGATGCAAGTGTGAAGGAATAAATGGATGTCATGTATATGCTGACAAAACAGACAGGGGAGATGATAAGACATCATAGCACAACCCAACACTCGGCTAATCTCAACAGGATGGGAACATTACTGGAGATAAAACACATGCCATCATTGGAGCAAGGTCCTTTTACAAGGCGTAAATCTCTTTGGAGAGGAAGATATTTTCAGGTAGAAAACCCAAAGTCCAGTCTTCTATTGCAAACAATCCATTGAAAGGGTAACAACACAAACAAAGTTTCAGCTGGAAAGAAGTCTTGCTTAGCTGGAGATACTGGGAACACCACCCTCTGATAATGTGTGCAAAACATATCACATATCTTAACAAATCTGGATTGCCCCTGGGACTAATTTTGGATGCCCCAAGTTTACTGCTGATAAGCTGCATGTTGCACGACAATTCTTGCGAATAACTTCATTTCTAAAATGCCCCAAGCTATATGGTTAATGAGGAGAAATCGTCTCAAGAGGATTTTACAAAAGACTTGGCATTCACCATGCTCTGGTGTCTTTAAACTCTTAGAGGGATTCGTCAAATCTCGACGTGATTGCCCCAGATTGACTGTAGTTGGCACAACGAAGTCTTCAAATTTTTGCCCCAAAAGAGTAAACAAGTTGGGAAAGCATTAACTGGGAGAAGCAACATGTTCGTGCTTACGGTCTTCAGGTGACATGCCCCTGGGTATGATTTTTTTCTTGAAATGATTCGCCAATTACTCAACATAGTTTCAGGCCTTAAAAGAATAAAACTCATCACTGGTGCTTATGTGAGCTTCCTTGATATCAAACAAATGTTTTGCAGTTAGAAAAAGTTTACAATGAGAATGAAAATTCTAATGCAACAGTTATGTAAGTCTTGAAGATTTTGAAAAGATATCGCACCAATTTGCGAGTTAGAGCACCATTTATTTTTGTATAGGAAAAACATATGATACCAACATAACTATTTAGAACATTCATGGGAGTCAGGAACACTATCTCATTGAAGTATGCTTTCAAAATAACCTTGCTTCAATTAGGACTTTT